CACTCAACATTGTGGAAAATTGAGCTCTTAATAATAGCATTGTAAGTGGCATGATGCTGCTTTGGAATTTCGAAGACATGAAGTTCAAATCCACCAGCTGCTTTCTTGAAGAAACATAGACAATCTCCTCCCGTGCAATCAACTGCTTCTGAAAACCAGCCAGAGAGTCAGGTATGGGTCAGTTCTGACTCTATGGCACACACAACAAATGTACCTTTAAATAAAAATGTAGACTCTTATTTTGGAATGGGATTCTCTTTTTGAACTTCTTTAAAATATGAGAGGAAAACCTCTTGACCTAGCAAGTTTTGAATGTACTAATTGTACTGTTGGCCAGTCTCAAAATGGCCTTATGATTGTCATTACTTTAAGAAAATACTATTTTTGTGGCCAATGAGTCCTGATTATCAGACTCATTGTCTGATAAAGAGACTTCAGAAAATATTGATCTTATTATTGAGACTCTGCCATCATTATTTTCATTTTCACATTTTCTTCTCCTTCCCACACATTCTCCAACTTCTCCTGTATCTGTAGCTTCCTTAATCATTTTGAAAGGAAGTAGTTTTGGAGAGCTTCTCAGCAAAATCCAGTTCTTCCTCCTAATTCACTTTGTTATTTAAGTGACACGTTATTCTCACCCTCCAAAAACGCTTGGTTTCTTTTACTGGTTCCATTCAAAGCTTACTCATAAAGCTATTCCTCCTACCTAAATTGTTCAAATAGTCTCCTGATTTTTGCCATACTAATATCCAAAGGGTATTCTGTCCTGCAAATAATCTTCATTTATCAGCCTCACTTTGGTAATGGTGACTTAAAAATTTCTGGCTCTGTTTATGCTTTAGTCTCCTTTTTTTAGTTCTCAAGTTTGATTATCTGCTCTTATATTCACCTGTAATCTGGATATTCAAAAGTTAATTCTCATCAAATGTATCTTTTCAAACATTAACATTTGCAAACACCCCACTATTCTGCATATATTTAAGGGTTTGTTCCCCCTCAAGCCATCTGTTCACTAAGCATCAATTTAACATAATTTCTCTTGGAACAGCTCCTCATATGCAATACTACTTCTTTCCACCATGACCATCACCCTAAATACTCTTAGCGTTTACTGTTTGTTAATTCAGTGAGCCACAAAGAAGACAGGATTTCCACCTAACCACTCATCATTGGATCAGTTCTGACTCATGGTGACTCTACATATACAAGGGTAGTGTTTTCAATGGAAACATTTTTCTTTTCCTCAGGAAAATATCATCAGATAGTTCTTCAGAAGCTATTCTGAATTGACTTGAACCTTCAACCTTTCAATTAATGGGCAATTGGCAACATCATAATAGGCAGTGAAGAGATTGAGATTGTTAACAACTTCAGTTTGCTTGGCTCCAAAATCAACACTCTTGGTACCAGCATCCAGGAAATTAAGAGATTAATTGCACTGGGAAAGTCTGCTGTAAGGGACCCCACCACAGTGCTGAAGAACAATGATGTTAGTCTGGAGACTAAGGTGTGCCTAATCCAGGCTATAGTCTTTGCAATTGCTTGCTATGCATGAGAGAGCTGGACAATGACTAGGGATGATAGAAAAAAAAATTGATGCCTTTGAGCTGTGGTGCAAAGAAGAGTATTGAATCGTGGACTTCTAGGAGAACAAACAGGTTCATCCTAGAGAGGGTGAAGCCAGGCTGCTCTTTGGAGACAAGGATTCTGAAGCTTCATTGACATAATTTTGACATGTTGCAAGGAGGGACCAGACCTTGGAGAGGGATGTCATGCTTGGAGCATGCAGGGATAGTGCAAGACAGGAAGACCTTTGAGGAGATGGCTTGAACCAGTGACTGGGGTAATGGGGGTAGGTGTGTCAGAGACAATAAAGTTGGTGATTACTGAGAAGCAATGATGTCAGTTTGAAGACTAAGGTGTACCTGATTCAGGTCATGGTCTTTTCAATTACTTTCTATGCATTTGAAAGCTGGACAATGAATAAGGATGACAACAGAGAAACCCAACTTTGAGTTGTGGTGCTGGAGAAGAGTACTGAATATTCCATGGGCTGTCAAAAGAATGAATACATATGTCTTAAAGAAGGTGCTATAGAGTGCTTGCTTCTTGGATGCAAGGATGGTAAAGCTTCATCTCACATACTTTGGACGTATTGTTAGAAGAGAGTATTTCTTGGAAAGAGACATCATGCTAGGAAAGCGGGAAGGTTAGCAAAGGAGAGGAAGACCTTCAGCGAGATAAATTAACACTATAACTTCAATAATGGGCACAAGTATGTCAGAGGTGATGAGGGTGGTGTCAGATAGAACAAGGTTCATATCTGTTATTCATAGGATCGCTATGAGTCATGATTGACTTGAACATTTAACAACCACACAGCCATCCTGAAGGAATTAAGTTTGAATCCAACAGCTGCTCCTTGTGAGAAAGAGGAGCAATCTTCTCCCAAGTAATTTATTGCCTCTGAAAACCCACTTGAGGGTAAGTTATGAGTCTGTCCCAACTAACAGAACATAACAACAGCAGTAAAAACAGCATTGAACATTAGGACCTTCTCAAGAGATTAGATAGGAATCTTGTGGTTGGCCTTCTGGGGTACTGTCAAGAATACAGAATACAACTGTTATTTAGGTTTTCCTAGACTGTAGTCTTTACAGGGGCAGAGTGCCACATTGTAGGGAATAATACATTTCTATTGGTACAGAATGACACAGCTTAGGTCACTTAATTTGTAGTGTTTATGTTGATTGGGAATAAAATGATTCGGAAAAGAAGGGTGAAATAGTTAGGCAACTAGAAGAATGTAATCAGTGTCTTTGAATTGTGCACAGAGAAATGGTTTAAATGGTTCGTGTTTTGTTGTGTAAATTTTCAATGGCAAAAATAACAAGATAAATAATAGTATTAACATTCCAATGAGATAACATTTCACCCTTGCAAAAATAGCCCTGATTAAAAAAGCTTAAAAACCCTGGCAAGAGATTTATTGGGAAACAGGAAAGTCATACAGGTGAGCTCTGGTGGCCTAGTGGCAAGAAGCTACACTGCAATCCCAGAGGTGTGTGGTTCAAATCCACCAGATGCTTTGCTGGAGAAGGAGGAACAATCTCCTCCTATACCAGTCAAATCTGATTTGACGTTACACACACACACACAAAAAAAATAATAAAAATAAAATTAATAAAAAAAGTCATACAACCACTATGAAAACAGGTAAAGAAATATGTTATGATACATTTAGGTATATACCCTAAAGATAAAATAAACATGAACAGATGTGTGTGCACTCCTCTGTTACAGCATTATTCACTATAGCAAAACGATTAAAACAACGTATTTGTCCATCAGCAGATAAGTGAGTAAAGAAAATGAGCTACAAAGTGCAATGAGATATAATTCTACCCATAAAACACACACACACACACACACACACACACACACACACACACACACACCTCCTCAGTGATTCCTCAAAATGTAACATGGATGATGTTTAATTGAGTGAAATAAGCAAATTACAAAATAACAGTTATTGCATGATTTCACATTTATCAGAAAACAAGAATGCATACAGGTATCTATAGTTATACAAGCTCTGGTGGCCTAGAGGTAAGAAATTGTGGTGCAATTATGAAGGCACTTGGTTGGAATCCACAAGCTGCCCCATGAGAGAAAGATGAGTGGTTTCCTCTCATGTGATTTACTGTCTCTGAAAACCTTCTTGGAGGGCCAGCTATGAGTCAGTTCAAACTCGAAGGCACACAACAACAACATATATTAATATCAATAAAAATTGTTATCTGCTTATAAAATATTTATGTCTACAAAAGGAGCTCTGATATCCTAGTGGGTTTTCAAGCAAAAGGCATGAAATTAAAACCGACCAGCTGCTCTGAGGGAGAAAGATGCACTATCTCCTCCTGTGAGATGAACTGCCTCTGAAAATTCCCATGAGCTAGTTATTATGTGCCATGGAGTCCTGACCCACTCATAGTTGACTCTTCAGTGGGTTTTCGGAGACAGTAGATTGAACAGAAAGAGATTGCCCATCCTCCTTTGCCTTCGGAACTGCAATGCAAATTGTTGCCAGTAGGCCACCTTTATTTATTATATAGTATAACATATGGAAGTTGCTGGCTGACTGGTGGGATGGGCTGGCATCTCTATAGGGCAGCTCAACTTTGGTGGCACTCAAGGCAAGGGAAGTTTCTGGAGTCCTTTCTGCTGTGTGTTATTGCTCTTTTTTGCCCTTCAAAAGTGGGTGGGTGGCCCAGAGCCTTAAACTAAGTGACCAGTTGGCCTAGTGGACTAAAAGCGATGTTACCAAACCACTGGCGGGTGACTCTAATCTGCCCTAAGGCCTGTCTTTTAATTGTTTTTGGTGAAACATTCTTCTAGGTTGTATAGCCCTGGTGTGGCCACTTGCCATACAGACGTAACTTGTGGTTGCTGTGAAGCTGAACTCTGTGACACTGATGTGTCAAATGCGCTAATGGTTACCCATGGAGGACAGTGTTGGGTGGCGTTCCCCGGTTGAAACAAGCTTGGAAGCAGGAGTGGCATCCACTTCTGTAAATAGCTTGCCTCGGGAAGCCCTATGAACTTGGAGAAAGGATGAAATTCACACAAGTGTCCAAGACTTTCATTCATAGGGTCACTATGAGTCATCTACAACTCGACGGCACTTAACAACACAACAACAACAACAACATGTGTAATACTTTTACAGATTCTATTATATACTTACAATCTTTATGTGTGTGCATACACTTACCATTTACCCAGAGAGGATGAAAGTGTGTTTCCTTAACATAAAAATATTAATCTTGACAGAAACAGCGATCATTTTGCTGCCACTTTTTAATTAGGGAGTTGTTGATGAAAGAAACCTTTGACCAATCTGGAGGGAAGTTTAATTGAAAAGCAAGTGTGACCAATAGCAGTAATGTTAAACGCTGTCTCTTCAGAAGTATTGATTACTCTTTCTGCTGCAGATCCTTTCAAATTGACTGGGAGGCTCCAGGAAAGCCAAATGGCATCATTCTTGGATATACTATCTTACGAAGAGCATGGCGTTCATGCCCAAAAACCACGCAGTTAACTAAAGACCACGGAGTCTGCAAGGCAGTGAAATGTCAAAAACCTGAGGATATCTGTGGACACACATGCTATTCTCCTGAATCTAAGGTAAATCTTTTACATTAATCAGTAATACATGCTTTTTCACTAAACACCACAGGTAAAAAAAGAAAAAAAAATCACTTGCTCCTTAAACCATTTATCATAGTGAATACTAAATACTAACTAATGGTAGTAAAGACTAAATACCATTTAGTCTATCGAGAATTCGTGGAGAAGAGAGGTATAAGAAAATCCTGTCACCCCCACCCTCAGGAGGGGTTTTAGTCTTTTCATTTTTTCTATCTTCCCAGAAAGTATTGTTTTATTGCAATGATAAGGAACTTCCTAGATTTGCCTCCGATTGAATGACTTTAATTTTCTCTACAACAAAGTCATTCACCTGCAGGTGGGTGTTTGCTTATATGGCACTGATGAGTAACTGTGGACAGAATCTTTTGTAGTTGGTTAGAAATATCTTTATAGTACGGTTATTTGCAGATTAATGTTATTATTAGTTGCAGTTTAGGAATCTAATCAATAATACACCCCGACAGAAGAGTTTGTAAATGACATTTATTGAAAAGCGATGCAGGAAATCCTTACTGGAAGTTAAGAATTACTATAATGAAATAATGTTCCTATTTGTCAACAACAACATCATCCATTCAATGACGCTACCATAAATTCACAAGCTTCACTATGAAAAAACAGTTATTAATGTATATTACTGAAACAATATATAGCAAAACACAAATCAAATTATTATGACTGACATAAGTTTATTTGTAGTTATCTACCTATCTAGGTTTTTTGGAAGCAAGAGTGGCATCTACTTCCTAAACAACATGCTTCCAGAAACTCTATGAGTTTTGATAAATGTAGATAGTTATAGAAAAGCTTCAGGTCTTTTGCTCATAGGCTTGCTATGAGTTATGCTTGACTTGAAGACAATCAACAACAACAACAACAACAATCTATAACTTATATGTACATATATATTATACATATGCTCCAAATTGTGATTGTGTCTAGTGTTTATGCAATTTTAGATTTTAAATGCACTGTCTGATCATCAGATTTTACGAATTAAAACTCACTTTCTAAGGAAAAAATACTGCTATAAGTTTTCTTATTAAAAATATTCTCCAAGAGAAATTTATACAAATAGGAAAAGGATTAGGCAGTATATAAATTTTTAGTTCTTTTTGTTCTTTGGCAGCTTGATTATGTTGTGGTGTTTTGTTTCTTACTTTCTTTAATCTTATTTTGGTTTGCATACAAAATTTGTATACAAAATTGGGTTTCCTTCACATACATTGTGTTTCACATTTCCTTCCTTCACATTGGGTTTCATATGTTCATGCCAGTATACTGAGTTTTGTAAAACTAATCACTATTGATCTATGCCCACCGTCACCCTGACTTTTCAGATCTCCACTAGATCTATCCTAATTTCTTTAGGCCTTCCCTCCGTCCACCAAATTCTGTGACCTGGTCATTTTGCTCCCTTCTTATTCTCAACCCCCTTACTTCCTACCCCTTCCTCTTCTAAACTTTTATGCACATCTTACTAGCTATCCTTCTATTTTATACACTAATGGCCCTATGGAATATCTATCCTTATGAAACTGAATTAGTTCACACAACATAAGGCCCTCTAGACTCTCCCATATAATATAGTTTGGGATTTTTGTGTTTTGGTTGGTTGTTTGTTGGTTTGTTGTTTGTTTTTTTTTTAACGGTCAGATAGTATTTTTCAAAATTGTTCCTGAGTGCTGCATAGTATTCCATCCTGTGAATGTACAGTAATTTCTTGATCCATTCATTTGTTGATAGATATTTGGGCTGTTTTCATATTCTTGTTATTGTGAATAATGCTGCTGTGAAGATTGATGTACAAATATCGATTTGTGCCTCAGTTCTATTTTCCTCAGGATATGTTCCTAGCAGTAGAATCGCAGAGTCATATGCAATTTCTATTTTCAGCTTTTGAGACAATACTAAACTACCTTTCAAAGTAGTTCCTAACAACAATGTGTGAGAGTTCCAAGCTCTCCACACCTTCTCCAACATATATTGCCTAACATCCTGTTGGAATTCATAACATGTATACAAGAATGGTTCTGCATAAGAAGAAAAGCAATGTAACTCATCACATTAAAAAAAGAACATGAATCACATGCTCCTATCCGTTGATGCAGAAAAGGTCATTGACAAAACTCCAGTAGCTCTTTCTGAATAAAACACTCAAGAAAATAGAATAGAAGGGAATTTCCCAGATACAGTGAAAAGTATCTTGTATAGACACCAAGAACTAACATCATTCTTAATGGAGAAAGACTACGGGAATACCCTTTGTCAGAAGAGATCAGACTAGAATGCTCACTTTCAACACTCCTGTTCAATATTGTATTGAAAGTATTTACTAGGACCATACAACAAAAGATGGAAATAAGAGGTAACCAGATTGATTAAAAGGTAGTAATACTGTGGCTATATACAAATGATATGATAGTGCCCATCAACAAATGAATGGCTAGAGAAGCTGTGGTATATTCACACAATGTTCTATTTACACACAGAATTGAAAAACAGTGAACTCGTAAAACATTATACAACATGGGTGAGCACTGAAAACATTATGCTGAGTGAAATAACTCAGCCACAAAAGGACAAATACTGCCCATCAATGCTCTAGGTCTGATATAAGGATGTGAAAGGAGAAAGGGAAAGGAAAAAAAAAATAGATACACTACGTTGGAACAGATGAGGGGGAGAACCATAGGAGAGGAATGAATGTATGATTAAACATTAGATGTATGACACAATATGGAGCAAAAGATGCATTGAAAAGTGGACTAGAGGTAGGGAGGAGAAGTAGAGAGAGGGAAATGTGTAACAGTGAATGAATGAAAACTCAACCTTTGTATAAACTTCTGTTACAATCAGAATAAAAATTTTAAAAATAAAGAAATGTTATGTCTTTTTGTAATAAAATAAATGATAGTTTTGTATAAAATTCTCAAATCCATTGTTTTCCAGAAAAACAGTTTTTAGTCAATAAAAAAAAAAAAAAAGATAATGCAAGTCAGATTTTTTTAAATAAAAGAGGCATGATCACTATACACCAAAATGAAAAAGACATGGACTACCTTTTAAGAACAGTGAGTATACATTAAAATGAGGGAAATGGTTCTGGTGACCTACTGGTAAGAAGCTGTCCTGCAATCCCAATAGTATGTGGTTTGAATCCACCAGCTGTATTGCAGAAGAAGGATGAATTATCTCCTCCCATGTGATTTACTGCGCCTGAAAACCTGCTGGAGGGTCAGCTATGGGTTGATTCTGATTTGACAACAAACAATAACAACAAGAAGTACATCTTTAAATGAGAGAAATGAAATGAAATTGTAACTCTTTAGGAAACCAGCACATTTGAATATCATGTAATACAATATTTTTGGAAAGAAAATATCATATTCTCTAATCTTATACAGGACATGTGGTACATTGTTAACTCATTCAGGAATTGCTGTTAAGTCAGAATTGACTCGTATCTGACCCTTCATTGACCTTCTGAAGCATTAAATTGCACAGGAGGAGAAGAGATCACTATCTTTCTCCCTCATAGCTGCTTGTGGATTCTGCCCTAGAGAGGTGTGACCATTGGATTAGCAGCCCTACTCCCTACAGACTAGCCACCAGAGATTCCTTTGTGTTGTTAAGAGAGGAGAGTATTTGTAAATTAATGTTTGGGGTTAATATATATTCCCTGGGGTTTGAGATTAAAGGAACATAAAAAATAAACTTATTATGAGTCTAAAAACCTCCAGCCTAAATCATGACAAATGTTAAGTCAGTTTAAGGTTGGCCATTTCATCATTGTACCAGTCATCAAGATCAAATAAACATCAGGTCTGGAGGGCTTGTTAAAGCAATGGTTGTAGATACCAATCATTGGAACTTCTTATCTAGTAGGTTGATGGAACTACACCTTGAAAGCAGATTATAGAACTGTTTTGAAAACATCCAAAATTCCACTGCCAGTGATTTGATTCGGATTCACAGTGACCCTATTGCCCAGAAGGCTTTTTACTGAAGCCAACCGCTTCACATTTCTCCCACAGATTGTCTGGTGAGTTCCAACCATCAATCTTTTGGTTTATAGCTTACTTTTTTTTTTTTTTAGATGGATGGCCAAAGCCATTGTACCACTAAGATAGGGCTCTATTTGGAAATTAGAATGCAGGAGAAAAGACTTGAAAAAAAATAATTTTTTAATATCTTATTTACTAATGTTTGATCAACCTATTAACAAATTTGTGGTTTTTTTTTTTAATTTATGGCACAACTCTTGTGCCAGTTAAATTTCTAATGTCTGTTTAATTTTTTATTATAATAAGGGTCCCTTTTCAAAATTAACCATATACTTATCAGCTGAGTTTATTGAAATCTCCATTTATTTCATCTGAGAAGTTGAACTTACAGACTGAATTACCTTTTACACAAATAAAAGACTTTTTTTTTAAAAAAAAAAAAGTAAAATCTGAATTAGAAGATTAGAAGATGCTCAGTGTATGCAAAGAATCTCCTAGAGAAACATATGCTTGAAAATGTCCTCTTTGCTAATCTAAACCACAGTCGTTTAGAAGATTTCTATTTCCTCGGGCTGAGGCCAATGGACAATAGCATTGTTAATGAAAGAATAGAACTGAACCAGTATGATGACCTATATTTGAGGAATCAATCTAGGAAAAAAATAAAATAATTACAATTAGTTACTAGATAAGGATATTGTGTTATGTGCTGTCGAGTTGCCTGCAACTCATAGCAGCCCTATGTTCTTAAACCCTGCTCTATCCTGTGCCAATCTTATTGTCTCTGACACACCCTACCCCCTTTACCCAGTCACTGAATGAATCCATCTCATCAAAGGTCTTCCTGTCTTGCACTATCCCTCCACCCTCCCAAGCATGACATCCCTCTCCAAGGACTGGTCCCTCCTTGCAACATGTCCAAAGTATATCAGATGAAGCTTCAGAATTCTTGCCTCCAGGGAACAGCCTGGCTTCACCCTCTCTAGGACAAACCTGTTTGTTCTCCTAGCATTCCATGGTATATTCAACACTCTTCTCCAACACCACGGCTCAAAGGCATCAATTGATAAGCTGTTGTTGTTCTTGTTATGTGCTGTCCAGTCACCTGCACAATGTACAATATTGTACAATGTTCACTCTGTACAACAGCTCTAAACCCTGCTCTATCCTGTGCCAATCTTATTGTCTCTGACACATGTACCCCCATTACCCCAATCACTAACAATCCATCTCATCTAGGATCTTCCTCTCCTGTGCTGTCCTTCGGCTCTCACAAGAATGACGAATCCTTGTCTTCAAGGAGCAACCTGGTTTCACCCTCTCCAGGAAAAACTTGTTTATTCTCAAGTCAGTCCATGGTATAGTCAATACTCTTCTCCAGCATCACAGCTCAAAGACATCAACTCTCCTTCTATCATCCCTAGTAACTGTCCAGCTCTCTGATGCATATCATGTGATTGCAAAGACCATGGCCTGTATCAGGCACACTTTAGTCTCCAGACTGACATCGTGGATCTTCAGTACTTTGGAGAGGTTTCTGACAGCAAACTTCCCCAATACAATTCATCTTTTAATTTTCTGGCTGCTGGTACCAAGCGTGTTGATTGTAGAGCCAAGCAAACTAAAGCTATTAAAAATCTCAATCTTTTCACCACCCATCATGATGCTGCCAATCAGCCCAGTGGTGTGGATCTTTTTTTTTTCTTGGTGTTCAGCTTCAATCCATATTGAAAGCTGTAGTCCTTGACCTTCTGCGGCAAGAGCCTCAGGTCCTCCAGTTTGAGCAACCAGGGTTGTGTCATCTGCATAATGCAGATTGTTGAGTCTACCGCCAATCCTGATGCCACATTTTTCCTCATAGAGCCCAATCCTCCCAGATAATCTGTTCCACATATAGATTGAAAGGACATGGAGATATGACACATCCTTGGCACACACCCTTCCCAGTTTTAAATCATGCAGTATTTCCTTGCTTTGTGCTGACGACTGCCAAGTATAGGTTTTGTGTAACCACAATCAAGTTTTCTGGGATTTCCATTCTTCTCAGAGTTAGCCACAGTTTATTGATCTACACAGTCAAATGCCCTTAAATAACCAATGAAACACAGTCAGACATTCCTCTGGTACTCTCTGCTTTCAGCCAATAACCATCTGACATTAGCTATAATATCACTAGTACCGTGACCTCTTCTAAACCCAGCCGGCACTTCAGGCAATTCTCTGTTGATGTGCTGTTCCAGTCACTTTTGGATAATTTTCATCAGAATCTTGCTTGCATGTGTTATCAATGATATTGTTCAAAAGTTATCGCACTCTGTCAGATCACCTTTCTGTGAATGGGAACAAATATAGATCTCTTCCAGTCAGTTGGCCAAGTGGTTGTCCTCCAGATTTCTTGGCACAACTCGGTGAGCACATCTGTGGGCTGCATCTGTTTGTTGAAATATGTCAAATGGTAAGCCATCAATTACTAGGACCTTGTTTTTTGCAATTCTTTCAGAGCAGCTTGAACAAGCTAGCTAAAAGAAAAACCAGTTACATATGTTTAGAGACAATAAAATCAAGAGACCAAACCAGTTGCCATTAAATCAACTTCTACTCATAAGGACACAAATATCAGAATAGAACTGTGTTGCATAGGCTTTTTAATGGCTATTCTTTTAGAATAATAGCCTCAGGTCTTTCTTTGAAGCTTAACATGTTTACCATTTGATCCAACCAGGATTATCTATGAGAAACATAGATAATCAATGTGAGTAAGACCACACAATAGCAAAACTTTGTGTTTGTCTCTTTGCTGTGAAGTTGAAACCAAGGAATAGCTGACACTCCAGTGGATTTTCAGAGGCTCTTAATCCTACCAGGGAAGATTGCCTATCTTTCTCCTGAGGAGCAGCTGGTGAATGAATTCAAATCACCCACTTCAGCATTAGCAACACAATTCCTATTGAACTCGGTTTTGGATTAGCTTTATAAAACAAGAAGAAAACCCTTGTTATTTACCAGAAATGTAAGAATTACTAACATTCTTAGATCTCAAATAAATTTGCAGAGTGTTTTACCAGCTGTTTAGAATTGTTTGTCTAACTCCAAAGAATTCAGAAATTTGCTTTTCATCTGCAATTTAACAATAAAAAGCAGAATCATCCAATTTATGCTTAGAACTAAGCTAATTTTGAATCTTTGTTGCTAATAACTAAACACTTTTAAAAAACATTATCACAGTAGAGTAAATATTACAGTAGGTTAAACTCTACTGCAAGAGTGGCATCCATTTCCTAAGCAGCATACCTCTGGAAACTCTGGGAACTTGGATAAATGGTGATGGTTGTGGAAGGGCTTCAGGCCTTTTGTTCATGGGGTCACTATGAGTTGTGCTTGACTCGACAGCAATCAGCAACAGCAAATACTACCCAAGGAACCACAGAGAACTTAAAATTTAGGACATTTCTTCAGCTCTTTGATTTTTGGGTAGCTCTGTAAATGAATGCAAGACAAAGCTCGTTTCCCTTTTGAAGACTCACATATCCCACATTCTCCTGCTTGGGTGTTGAATTTGGTTCAAATGTTGGTGCAAGATAGAATTAGCTATGAATAAAAATGAAAACACATCTCAAAGCATGCTTGATTTTTGCCTGCCACAAGAAGCATCTTTCTAATTAGTGTAACTTATGCCAGGGAAAGGTTCTAAGACTACATTTCAGCAACTATACAGTGTTTGATTTGTCATATAAACATAGTGTCAGTCTCTCGAACCTCAAGTGAACATGCAAATAATTATTTGATTGTTCAAGCACATAATTTCTTCCACAGTTCCTGAAGAAAACACAGAGCTACAACAGCCTTTCAAAATTAATTTCCATATAAATTTCTTTTTTTTTTAAATGTGATGGCCTGTGCTTTGTATATATAAGCTGAGCTCTCTGGGAACTGCATTGCCTGAAGATTGAGTTCATAAATAAGTGAACATATAATTTATAAGGAAAATGAAATTTACTTAAGAAAAGTAAAAGATCAGTTAGAAACAGTGTTCCATCAGTGCAGTGTTGTCAAATTACATAATAAAAACATATATGAAAGACATTATTCATTTCCAATTCTAGGTCTTCTTTACACTACTAGGACTGATATTCAAAAGATAATTCATATTTATAGAGTATTATAATAGAATGTAAGGCATAGTGGAAAAGGAAAATAAGTTCTATTATATCAAATGGCATTGATAAAATTATAATGGTGTTGGAAAATATTTTTAAAGTGTATTTTTTTTTCATTAGTGTGCTACATTTGGTTTTTTTTAAATATTTTCTTTTATATTGGTTTCCACACCAAATTATTCATTGTATTTCACATTTTCCTTCATTCACATTGTATTTCATACAACTATTCCCATATATTGTTTTCCAAAATTAATCACCATTGAATTATGCCCACTAGTACCCTGTCTTTTCAGGTCCTTGCAGGATCCTTCCCATTTCCTTAATCCTCTCTTTCCACCTACCAAATTGTGCAACTTAGTAATTCCCCCTTATCCATACTCACTCCTCTGCTCCATTCCCTTCCTCCCTTGGGTTCCCATACACTTTTTACTAGTTATTCTATTTTTACAATAATGGTCTTATGCAATATTTGTCCTTATGAGACTGAGTTCGTTCACTCAGCATAATGCACTCCAGTCATTTGGTCTTCTAATAAGGCCTCATGAGAAAATCTTTATCTGATATATAATATGATAGAATAGTGCTCTTAATTAAACTAATACATCAAACCAATTTGTGACTTTCAGGTATGTTGCAATGGAGTTCTCTATGACCTCAAGCCTGGATACAGCTGCTGTGAAGAGAAGTATTTCCCATTTACTCTGAATTCAACGGGAGTTTGTTGTGGTGGCAGAATACGAGAGGCACAACCAAATCATGATTGCTGCTCTGGGTATTACACTAGAATTCTACCAGGTGAGGATCTTGTCCAGGTGGACTCCAAGGGTCATGGGAACCTGAATAGGTAAACACTTGGTTTATGTCAATTAACAATTTCACATACCTCCCATCAAAACTTGAGCCACTATTACGTAGCCATGGCTTGTTTAGATAGGTCTTCTCCCTGCTTTGCCAGATACAAGCAGCCCAGATAGTATAGTGTTTGAGTGCTCGCTGCTAAACAGAAAGTCCATGGTTCTGACAGTATTTACAGCCTTGAAAAGCCTATGAGGCAGTTCTAGTCTGTCCAAGAGGCCACTATGAGGTGGAATTAACTAAATACCAATGTGTTTGGTTGATGCAAGCAAAAAAAGAGTGGAACACAATGGACTTACATCTGTGTTAATGAGTTCTTTAACATACCTGAAGAGCTCAATTGTCCCTTTTGTTTTTTGCTTTCTTGTTTCATAAGGCTAAACGTTTTCACCATCAAATCTGTGATATTTTTAATGTTTCATTCTCTTAATCCCATGTGCGTGTCCTCCATGTCTATTTTCCACTAGGCATGCATTGCCTCTGGATGGAATGAACTCAGTTTATCTCACAATTCCTATCTACTGGCTGCATCCTGTAATTTCTCTAGGTTGATGAGAAGCAGGAGGAATCTATCCAAAAGAAACAATCAGAATCATTTCCTCTCTTTTTGTTTTATTATATTGATCAACAGAATTTCTCAACTCTCCCCAAATTACTACTGTACAAAAAATGTTCAGTCAGTGTATTTGAGAATGGTGATAACAAGATAACTGTGATGATAAAGCATTTATGAAAGTAAAAAATCTCTGACATTCTATTAAAAGACTTTATAGATTAAAATCCAAATAACAATCCCATTGCTGTCAAGCCAATTCTAACTCAAGTGGCCCTAAAAAGCAGGGCAAACTTCACCAGAGGCTTTTCTGTGCTATAATCTTTATGGAGGGCACTACCATGACTTTTGCCCGTAGAGTGCCTGGTGGGTTCAAACCACCAACTTGTAGGTTAATAACTAAGTAATTAAGCAATTTTGCACCAAGTATCATTCTACATGCCTAATATATTTTTCACAATTGAGAGACTACTATTGTACTGTCAATGTATAAATATTTCCTTGTTTATGAAGAAAGAAACAGATTGAGAGAGGGTCAGTAGCATGGCTAAATTTATATAGGTTAAAGGGTGGAAGTGCTAATCTAGGTTTTCTTCTCTAAGTCTAGCAGAAAACGAATATTAACATTTACAAGTTACATTAACATTATGATTTATTGTTTATAGTTAAACTCTGAAAAATATTCTATATCCTTTAAAATGGCACCTATCATTCTTTTACCTCTTAAAATATTTACCACCTACCTTCTTTAATCTTAACACAAAATATCATCTTTTAAACCCAAACTCAAAAGCTCCTTGCCATGGAGTTGGAGATGACTTATAATTGACCCTACAGTGGGTTCTTGAGAGACTGTACGTGGCACAAGAGAAGATTGATCATCTTTCTATTGAGCCAGTATTGTTGATGGTATTAGGTGCTATGGACTCACAGTGACCCTATGAACCACAGACCTGAACCCCATTCTGCCCTGTGCCATCCTTATAATTTCTGACACACTTGATTCCCTTGCTGCAGTACTGTTTCTTCCTCTCTTTCAAAGACCCCCTGTCTTTCAAAGCATGATGTCCCCTTCAAAAGAGTAACTCCTCCTAGCAACATACCCAAAGTTCGAGAGAGGAAGCTTCACTCTCTTTGCCTATAAGGATCCGTCTAGTTGCACTTTTTCCAAGACATTTCTGTTTGTTCTTTTGCCAGTCCATGGGATATTCAGTACCCTTTTCCATCATCACAACTCAAAATCACTGAGTCTTTTCCTATCATCCTTAGTCACTATCCAGCTCCTAGAGGCATATCAAGTGACTGAAAAGGCCATGACCTGGATCTGGAATATCTTACTCTTCAAATTGACATCATTGGTTCTCATTAATTTGGAGAGAAAGTTGACAATGAACTTTCTCAATGAAATATGTCTTCTGATCTTGAACTGCTAGTGAATTCAAACCAGAGGGATTTTATTTTTATGTTCAACTATGGGCATCACTGCAAGAGCTCCTTTTGCTTTCAAACTGAGAAGTGGAATGGGCACTACTTTTGTTTTATTTCAAAATAAAAGTCAACATTCCCCCTCAAAAAATTGTTAGCAAAAACATCCATGAACTAAACCATGGAAGCACAAAAAGAGTTAATTGAGAAGATACAAACGTTTTACAACTTTTCTTTAAAACAAGAATTTTAAAATGTTATGTAATATGTTGGCACATGCTCACTTGGCTCTGAAATGTTTTAAGTCTCCCACACTGTTGAACAAGCCCCACATTCAATAGCCTTTAAAGTAGTTCAGTTTTTACAGTTCTGGAATGCTTATTCTGTTGTTCAGAGAAAAGATAGACACTCTCTTGCAATAATCAGAGGGACTGTTTTGCTGCCATCATTAATCTCAGTGTAACTAAATGAAGAGCTTACATTGTGACCTCTCTCCTCAGTCAGTGATCTTTGTTAACTATTTTAACCACTGTTTACACCAGGAAAGAGCACATAGAGAGTGTGAGACATCTTGTATTGGAATGTAATTAAAGATGAAGGTAGAGATGACCATAGGCATCTTGATATTTATAAATGAGACAGAAATATTTGTAATTATATTTACTTCATTCTTTTCTTACTAATTCCTCTGTAGCACCTCATAACAAAGAGCAGCAGAGCAAAGACTCCTCATCACACAGGACTTTTTTTTATAAATATGCTAATGACCCTAAGCTAAATGTTAATGTGGGTCATTCTTTGAGAAGAATAACAATTAACTGCAGCTTTTAGAGAGAAAACATTTTCAAGCCTGGCCTGAAATAGATTCATTTTGAGAGGTTAATGAGAAGATGACTGGTCCTTGTACCTTATGTCCACTAGCCCTTTTTTTGGGTGGGAGGGGGAGGCACACTAGTGGTTAAACATTTGGCTGTTAACTAAAATTTGGTGGATTAAGCCCACCAGGCTCTTCAAAGATGTACTCAGCTTTAGGAAAGATTTCAACCTTGGAAACTAAAGGCCAGTGCTCCTCACTCCTATAAGGTGAGAATGAAATCAACAGAAATAGATTTGGGTTTGGTTTTTGGTTGAGGGGAAAAATTTTTTTAATTTCTCATTGATATTCTTCTTCTCACAGTCAGCCACAGCTTGTTGTGATCCACACAGTCAAAAGCCTTTGCATAGTCAATGAAGCACAGATAGACATTCTTCTGGTATTCTCTACTTTCTGTCAAGATCCATCTAACATTAGCTATAATATCCCTAGTGCCCCAACCTCTTCTAAATCCAGCCTGCACGTCTGGCAGTTCTCTGTTGACATTTTGTTCCAAATGTTTTTGGATAATTTTCAGCAGAATCTTGCTTGCATGTGATATCAATGATATTGTTCGATAATTTCCACACTCTGTTGGGTCACCTTTTTTTGGAA